AAATAAACCTTCAACCAAACACTACCTTAAGAATTTGAGGAACATTTGGCTCTGCACAAAAGTAGCAATTTTGTTGAACAACATTAACATATTGCAAAGCCTGAATTTCTTGTATCTCAAAATCTTCCTTCTTGAGATGTCACATCTGAACTCGTAAGTCAACAATCTTCTCTCCCAATAAGGGAAATTTTCTCTTCTTTCCTTTTTCTTCTCCCTCTCTCTCTCTTTTCTCTTCTCTCTCCACCCTATTCTCTTTTAAGGGACCTCAAGGTCGAGAGCTCTAAATATTATCTCCCCAATAAGAGGAACAAATTTTTAGTAGTATAGTACAACCCTACGATGATGTTATAATTATGTATTTTTTAAGAAGAAGGTTATATTTACAAACTTTTTATTTATAAACTCTTACAAATTACACTAAGTGTGATCGGTCATACTTCAATCAAGAGTGTATGACCGGTCATACTTTGAGTAATTTGTAAAAAAAGTTAGTAAATAGATCATTTTCTTTTTTGGAATATACTATTATAATATTTAAAAAAAAATTTCTTTTCAAGCTGACAAATTCTAGAGAAAGGGAAAAAAAAAGATTAATATTATATCTATATATTCTTCAAAATATATAATTATAATATGATCGTCTGTCTAACAGGGATTATAATTATAGGTCTAATAAGCTTAAACAAGCTAACAATTATATAATTATAATTATATATCCTCCCTCTCTCCTGTCTCCATCAACGGGGGTGTAAATGAGTTATTTGGTCTAACAGGGATTTACGACTCAGTCTACATAAGGTCAAACTCAATTTATTATATATAAGCAAATAGAATAGGATCAAGCTTAAAAAAAAAGCCTATTTCTAAAGCAGACCATAAACTTTCTTTTACTTGCCGGATCTATAAGCCTATTTGTTGACTTATATTATATTATATATTTTTAATAAAATAAATAAATTATTAATTTTAAAATAATAAATTAACATTATTTTAATTATTGAATGTCTAATAAGCTTAAACAAGCTAACATATCTAGGCCAAGACTCTCGTTTTATAAATATAGGTCATACCAGACTTATAGTTTAAGCCTATATAAGATTAACTAACCAAGTCAGGCTTAAATTATTTTACACAAATCTAATCTATTTAAGTCAAAATTTAGCTCGACTCAACTTATTTACACCCATGTGACCACCACATGCAACAATTATTATACCAAAAAGAAAGTTAAGAGTTCTCATCGGGATCACAAAAAGAGAGGAAGCAGACGAGCGAAAAGGTGCCAGCTGAGAGAAATGTAAGCTTGTTTGATTGTGAAATTTTCAAAGAAAAAATGTGTATTCTTTTAAATGACATAAGCTTAAGTTTCTTTAAGAGAGATACAGACACAAAGAGATATGAATTTCATTGAAAAAATAAAGATGTGAATTTTACCTCTTTGTATCTATCTCTCTCTTGAAAGGATATAAGTTTGTGTCTTTTTAAAAGACATTTTTCCCCAAAAAAAAAATTCAATTAAAAAGTATGTTTGAAATTTTTTAAAATAGTTGTTCTAATTTAAGAAAATAATGTTTGTTATTTTAAAAGATATAAAATTGTGTCATTTTAGTCAAAATTACTGTGTTTCATAGTGAGAGAAATAGAAATCATGATAAGAAAAAGTAAAAGATTTTTTTTTTAAATTCCAATATTAAATAAAAATACTAGTTTTAATTAAAACGATTGTCCTTTAAAAGGACAAATATTTTGTTTACTAAAAAAAGGATAAACATTTTTTCCTTAAAAAATACTAAAGTTTAGAAAGAAAAAAAAATAGTTTTAGAATCCTTCTTATAAGATAAAAAGAATAGTTTTTGAAAAAAAAAAAAAGCATAAAATAATGCATATAATTTTTTATTCACACATTTTAGATAAAAATATAAGCACTTGAGAAGATTAATAGATAAGGAAACTGACTACCGTTATCAAAATACAGAGGGAGATGATAAGGAGTTTGAAAGAATTTGGGTTCTTCGATTCACCACCAGTTTTCTAAGACTCAGTTGATATATGTGCCTCGTTTGCAAGACAGTCTTCCCCACAATCCATATTCAGGCTTTAAATATAAAATTTATCTGCAACTAACTCCCAAAAATAATCTAAAGGAACCATCATTAAGAACATGTATTTAATCTTATTCAGTACTATCTTTGGGAGAAACACATATTGAATACTATGGTAGCACCAAAAACTAGGTGTGACATCGACTTTATGAGTAGTATATAAGGTATACAAATTATTTTTTTTTCTCTCCGGAATAATTGCAGTGACATGGCACACTCTTATTCGCCTAATGTATCTACTGCCGTAATATATTAGATTTTTTGCTTTGGAAGAAGTTTAAAGCCTTAATCCTGACCATCCCCGAACAGAATTTTCTTCCGTGAAAGATATATGTGGTTTATTCAAAAAAAAAAAAAAAGTAAAAGAATGAGAAAGATTATATTTACTACTATTTTTTCTTACTATCACTTGATATTATTTTATAACGTTAATTTTATTTTGTTCCAATAATAACAAAGTTGATAGTAAGAGAAAGTAAGAAGAAATAGTAATAAATATAACCTCTCATAAAAGAATATTGTCCACAAAACAAAATCTCATAATCCATAATATGATGAGATATATTTAATTTGCAGAAGCAATTATCGGTTATTCCTAATGCACACTCATTAAGTAAACAATTAATTAAAATGAAAATTGAGTTAAACAAAAATTCAAGCACTCACATGACTAACTGTTATGTCATTACCCATACAGAATTTTTTACATCAGCGCAACATATATCAAATTGATTTGTTTGGATTCAATAGCGCTTGTATATATTTAATAAATCAAAGTAATTAAATATAAATAGAATCACGACGAAGGTTGAGAATATAACTTACATTAATATAAAATCATCCTAACCCAGGTAAAATTCAAATACCTCCCATGTTGTCAGACTGTGTGGCTCGTATTATATATAATGGCGATGCAATATTTTTTTTTATAATATTATATTAATGTGGAATATTAATAATTATATATTTATAATAAAATCAGTAAATTTATGAATATGATTAGTGTGAATTCTAATTAATTAAATATAGATTCTGAGCTAATTAATTTATTAGATTTGTGATGGGCGAGCCCAATTACTTATAAGGATACATAGATATTGGTCTCTCTTGTCCAATTATCAAAATTAAAGGATAAGTTATGGTAGAATATATAAACTATATGTAAGTATTTAAACTTTACTTATTTAAAATTTTAAATATATTCTTTAAAAATTAATGCATCATAATAAATTAAATAATCAAATTTTTTTGGGTAGTCAAATAATCCAAATTTTAATATACTTTTATGATTTTTATATGAAATAAAATATTAAATATATTTATTTTTTTTAAGAGTCAACAAATAGACTATCATTATTCTACCAAAAGTTTTGTCTCCCTTAACGTTTTTCCTCTTTTGAATGCCTGACCGTTTCACAGAAGAATTAGACTCAAATTGACTTTCTACAAGTACCGATGGTAATGAATTTGAGAGAGGCAAGATGAATTCCTGACGAAATCAACCGCTGCAATGAAAATTATTAAAATGATAGAATTGACTATATTAATAGAGTTTTTTTTTTTTTTTTTTATAAATCACAGTTAGGACCCGTTTTGATGAGCTTTTAAAAAATGACTTTTTATGCATTGCAGCATTTTTTAAAATAACTTTTTTTTTTAAAAGATAAAGTTATTTAACGTTTGTATGTATGATCTGAAAATCACTTTTAGATAAAAAAAGTTGTTTGGATGTTAAAATAAAAAAAAAACTTTTTATATATAAAATTACAATAAAGGAGAGATAAAATAGCATGATCGTGGGATAAGGAGAATAAAATAAGTATGATAGGATAAGGTTAAAATTGTATTTTAAAAATTTATATTATCTTGTTTCCAAAACAAAATTTTTATATTATCTAATAATTTCTGTTTTTTTCAAAAGCAACCAACTACTAGCTATAAAAAAAAGAAGCATTTTAATTTTTATTTTAAATTTTGTTTTTTTAAAATGTTGTTTTCCAAACATTTAAAAATTCTCAAAAGGACTTTTATTTTTTAAAAAAGCAAATTTTTTAAGAATAAAAGCTCATTCAAAGGAGCACTTACTCTCCACATAGGAGGTAATCTTGTTTGAGGCAAAAGCATCCATATTATGGTAGAGCAAGCTCTTCTAAGAAAAATTGCATTCATTAAATTTACACTCTCCTGTATATACTTTCAGGATCAAAATTCCCAATTATCACATATATATTTTATATTTTTTATAAATAAAAAAATATAATAATAACAACAATAGGTTATTTTAAAATCATAAAAAAGAATAACGTATAGAATTCCACCAAAACATTATCTACAAAAATCACTTCTCATTAAATATCAATTAACAAAATAGAGATAAAAATTATATACACTTACCCTTGCGTTTGCAGAGAGTTCATTAAAACGTAATCTATAAGAAATGAAATTATTCTGATTTAATAAATCATCCGATAGCAATCTCTAATTAAGAAAGACTCATAAGGATACATTTGTAAATGGTAAATAAAGATATCTATATTGGCAATAATAAAAAATGACAAGTTATTTATGAAAATTGAATACAGACTTAATGTCTGGTCTATTATTTTATTTATTTATTTTGGCACTTTGAAATATAAGTACTGACATTAGCATCAACAATTTTTTCCATCCAAGTGCTGGAACTAGACACATACATGATATCTGAGAAATTTCTCAACATCATATCCTCTCTTCTTCTTTCTTCTTGATTACTTGCCTCTCAACTCCCTCTTTTTACTGTTAGTTTCTTCTTTTTCTCATACCCTCTTTTTCTCTTTATGTACTCGTTCTTATCCATGTCCACTTTTAAAAAAGCCTAGCTTGTAACTCTTTCTTTTGGTTGCCTTTTTTTTTACTCAGATGGATTGCAATCAACAAAACAAGTTCGATGATGAGTTATATAAGGTATTTTATACATTCTTTACCATTGTTCTTTTCTCAGCAATAGCTCAGTTATTTATTTATTTATTTATTTGTTTATTATTTATTTATTCAAAAGGATGAAGATAAGGAGGAAGGGTCAGATCTTGTTCAGAATTCAATGGAAGAGAGAGAGAAGATGAGAAATTCAGCTTCTGAGTCTTGTGAAGTTGATGATGAACCAAAAGGTGATGAAGGGACAGATCAGAAACCAGTTCAAGAAATCCACAAGTGTGAATTCTGTGGGAGGGAGTTCAACTCAAGAAATGCATTAGGTGGCCATAAAAGGTTGCACCTTCAAGCTTTAAGGAAAAAGAAGGAGGCTAAAGGTAAAGGCATCAAGTTTTCTGCTTCTAATAGGAAACTCATTTGTTATATTTGTCACAAGGAATTCACATCCCAGAAGTCCTTGTTTGAGCATCTGAGATTCCACTATGAAAAGCAAGGTTCTAGTTCCTCAAACCCTGTTGGTTCCATGGAAGAGAATAAAGATGATGATGATAATGATTTTGGTGCAGTTGTTGCACCAAATGAACTAGCTATTGATCTATCACAATATTTAGCCCCAGGTTGGCTTCAGAAATATAAACGAGGAAGGAAAGCTATTTATCGTAATGGTGATTATGAAGCTGCTCGAAACCTTTTGTTTTTGAAAAAGGGTATGAATATGAACAGTGAAGTAATACTGAAGAAGGAGGATAAGAAAAGAAAGAAGTTGATAGTGAAATTGAAGGCTACAGATGTGATCTTGAAGCAGAAACAAAGGGGTCGCTACCAATGTGGCAATTGCAATAAATCATTCTCATCTTACCAAGCCCTAGGTGGACACAGATCAAGCCACAGTAAAGAGAAGAACAATAGGCCTGCAGATGTTCAGGACTTTGATCTGAATAAGGCTCCTAATGTGATGATGCGTGGATGAAAACAACTAGTCTACTTATCTGGTATCAATGTAGATGATCCATATCTCATGTTTCAATTTGGGACTTTCTTAGTTTCTTCCATTTGCTCTATTTTAATTTCTCTAACTTTTATGTTTAATATTGTATCTGTATGTTCCCTTGGATATGATTTTATGTTTGAGTTACTTAACTATCTATTTGGCATGAAATATCTTTGTTAATTGTATCCCTCTACATAGAATTCAACCTTCGAAATCAAGAGCATGTTTTGTTCCCCTGAGCTTCATAGGTTCTTATTTTATGACACTTTAAGTTGAGGCTTTAAAGTCAATTAATGCTCGTTTGGACGGGCTTACCTGCATGACCGTTTAGGATTGCTTTTCTTAAAAGAACTTTTTTTTTTAAGTGAAAAAGTCAAAGTTGTTTTGGGTTTGTATTTGAAAAGCATTTTTAAATAGAAAAGTCTCTAGACAGTAAATTGAAGGGATACAATTTAAGTGAATGTATAATCAGGTTCTAACTTTTTTTTCATCAATATCCTTTTAATTAGTAAATTTAGTGTGTTGTCAAACTACTCCAAAGACAAAATGTAAAGGTCATTCAGAACATTACTCATTTTACGAAAAAAAAAAAAAAGTTTTTGTTTTTATTTTCTTACAATTTCCACAGAATTTTTTTGTCTCTATAAAATTTTAAAATCTCTTTCCAACTTCTTGTATGTAATTCTATGATCTACATGTACAAAAATAAGACCAACGCCCCCCAAAACTCCAACACAATGTGTGTTGGCTTTAATGTATGATATTAATATTTTAATTTGCAATAATTTTATATTAACATAAAAATGATTTAACTTTTAAAATTCTTATGCTAAACGGATTTATTGTTTATACAAGATAAAATAAGATATCAAAGATGATATGCGGAATGTGTATGCAAACTCCTTATTTTGAATAAAAGATTAAGGCTCGTTTGGATGAGCTTTTAAAAAAATAATAGGATAAGGAGAGATAAAATAAGTATGATAGGATGTTTATCAAAAAAAAAAAAAGGTATGATAGGATAAGTTACAATTGTATTTTAAAAATTTATATTATCTTTTTTCCAAAAAAAAATATTTATATTATCTCTTAATTTCTGCTTTTTTTCAAGAGCAACCAACTACTGGCTATAAAAAAAGTTACATTTTAACTTTTATTTTAAATTTTGCTTTTTATAAAAGTTGTTATCCAAAAATTCTCCAAAATGACTTTTATTTAAAAAAAACAACTTTTTTAGGAATAAAAATCCATCCAAACAGGCACTGCCTATGTAATCTCTACAAATCTCATATATAAGATATCTCATTTTTTCTATAAATATATTTTGAATAGAACATAAAATATATTCATAATCGCATTTGATGTATGTCTCACTTTCACGCTTGGTACACTCAACAATTTAAATAATTTTTTTTTAAAATATTTCAATCGGTTCATCGCTTCGTGGCTAGTCCGATTCAGGAAAGGTCCCGGGATTAAGACTTTAAACTCATTCCAAAGATGATACTGAGAGTATCAAACACATGCTTTCATCCCTCAGTTCTCTGTCGCCAATTGAGCTACCATCATTTGATAAATCGTCTCTAAGTTTATCTAATGCTATCAAGAAATTCGAGAGACAAATAAAATTTTAAAAAGAAGAAGCATTTTTCCTTCTTCGTAGCAACCCATCATTTTAAAGGGAATATGTTGTTATTGAACCATTTATCTACCCGAATTAGAGTGAGAAATCAATTGTAAATACTTTTCAAGTTAGCGCGGGATTCCAATTTTAATAGTTGCCCTTTATGAACAAATTAACAGCCTTGATGAAATGCGATATCTGCGAATCAAAGATGGATATCTTTTCAAATTTGTTGAGTGGAAGCTAAAATGGCAATTTCCAAATTATTTAAAAAAATCATATCATGATATCATAATTTGTCAATTACTTCTATATAACCATATCTGAATTTATACCCACGAGTTAAAACTCTTGGGTAGTTCTTCTGATTTAAAATTTTATAAATTATCATCAAACACATTGGTAGATTGGTATGAGTTGTTTCACCTTAATCAATAATTTTAAGTTTGAGTCCCGTATACACATTGTGTTTGTACATATGTTACAAATTTGGTAATGAGAGTTTTTTGGTTCTCGTAATCTTATCTAACTCAAATCAAATTAATTAAGTAATCGATAAATTAGTAAAAAAAGTTGAAAAACTTAAAATTAAATTCACCCTAAATTATATAAAACTAATTGATTACTCGTGCGATGCACGGACAAAAAAGAAATAAATTTAAATGTAGATGTAGTAATATCACAACTCTCACTATGTGATGTCATCACCTAGGTATCAGCTATGCATTTAATGGATTGATTTTCAATCAGATTTATGACTTATTAAATATGACTCACATATTCAAAAAGTTTACGTTTTTTTTAGTGTTAACATGTGAAATATGTTTTGAGTTTGATTGATTGTCAAATTTTCATTTATAAATCTTTCCTTTAATTAATCTTTCCTTTAATTAGTAGCGTTGACTTAATTTTAATTATTTCCTTATTTTTAATTATGACTTTTAATATTGATTGGATTGTAATTTTTCATTGTTAAACTTTCCTATTATTTTTATGCATGATTACTTTTATCCATACAATTATGATATATTATAAAATTAATATACTATATATTTAAATGTATTTTTTTGTAACGAAATGTTTTAACATATTAAGATAATGTTTTACTTCGTTGCATAAGCCTATGACTATAAAATATGTACATTTGATTTATAAAATACTAACAAAAAAATATTGAAATATATTACACAATGTGCGACCAATTGACTTAAATTTAATATATTATTTAAAGTTTAATGCTATATAATAAATTAAAACAATAAAATATGAATATAATTTAAGAATGATTGAATGATAGAGTAAAATAATAAATGCTTCTTTATAGGAAAATTCAACAATGACGTAATTGCTCGGTTTTTTTTTTTTTCTGAAGAGTTTCGGCATTATCATTTCTCCCAGTAATCTCTCTCCTCTTATTTATTTCTTATTTCTGGTGCTCAACTCTCACTCTCAGTACACAAGGTTAGCATTTCTTTTTTCACGCTCTCTCTCTTACTCTAGTCTACTCGTTTTATTTATCTCTTTCTTCTTATTCGTCTTCATTTTTAAAACCTACCTTCTAATTTTCTATTTCTCTTGTTGTTCTTGCCTTCTCCTTCTTCTTTTTTCAGAAGAAAAGAACTAAGATGGATTGTGATCAACAAAACAAGTTCGGTGATGGGTTATACCAGGTATTCTACATGTTCTTTCTCATTGTTCTTTGATCTTCATCGTTAACTCAATTATTTATTTTTTATTTTCACCCCTTTTTTTGTTTTATAACCAAAAGGATGCTGCTGATAAGGTTGAAGGGTCAGATCGTGTTGAGAATTCCATGGAAGAGATGGAGAAGATGAAAAGTTCAGCTTATGAGGTTGGTGATGAAGCAAAGGGTGATGATGAAGGGAAAGGTAAGAAACCAGCTGCTTCAGGAATGCGCAAGTGTGATTTTTGTGGGAAGGAGTTTAGCTCAGGAAAAGCATTAGGTGGCCATAAAAGCTTCCACCTTCGAAAGAAACATAGGGAAGCTAAAAAAGCTATTACTTATGGAATTAAAATGGCTGATGGGAAACTCGGTTGTTATCTTTGCAACAGGATTTTCTCATCACGAAATTCCTTGTTTGGGCATATGAGAGCCCACACTGATAGGCTCTGGAGGGGTGTTAACCCTCCAACACTCTCTGATAAGCAAGGTTCTTCTAGTTCCTTCAACCCTGTTGGCTCTATGAAAGAGAATAATGATTTTGGTGCAGTTGTTGCACCAAATGAACCAGTTATGGATCTATCAAAATCTTTACCCCCAGGCTGGCTTCAGACCTATAAACGAGGCAGGGAATGTCTTTGTTGTAAGAAGATTATGGAAGCTGCTAGAAAGCTTATGTCTTTGTCTCAGGGTGTTTGGTCATGTGATGAGTATCCTCCTCAATTGCCTCAAGATGCTAACCTCAATGAGGATGGTGTTTGTGATGATGGAATGAAGGGTGGAAAGCCTTTGTCTTTGGATGATAGTGTGGATGATAAAGCTACACTGTTATGGATAGTGAATGGGACAATCAGGTCAATTTAGCAGGATGAATGAAACTAGTCTAGCTACTTTTCAGCCAATAATGTATGATGTCTTCATCTTATGTTTAAACTTTGTCACTTTTCCAGCTACTTTAATTTGCTCTTGTTTCCTATGCCATGGGATTAATTTTATGTTAGTGTTGCTTAACCATCTATTTGACATATATGCCATGGGATTTTTATGCTGTAACGTTTTACTGAGGTTTTCAAGCCAATTAGTAATTGGTTGAAAGGTTTAAGATCTGCCAGTAGTTTTACACAGAAATGAAAAAAAATGAAAATGAGTGAGCTTTTGGAATTCTTATGCTAAACTAAGTCGTTTTTGTTTGATAGAAAGGCTTGCTTCTTCTGTTTGTCCGCAAACATAGAACCCCATTCACAAACACTTTTAAGCACAATCATTTCCTATAATGCTCGCTTGCTTGCATCCTGATTCTGATAGAGTTAGGTGATGTTTATTTCCCGGGTAGCTTCTTCAATTCTCCTGAAAAAAAAAAAAAAGTTCATGACCGGTGAAATTCTACATTGAACTTTCAATTACATTCTCCCTAATCCTCTTATCCTTTTATTCCACCCAGCTTCCTTGTATCCTTATGTCCCATACTTGGCAAAATGTCAGGGAAAATTTCAGGCTTAATTCCCGAGAATCAACCCGTTTGGATGCTTTGATAAAAGTGTTTTTTACTAATACTTACATTTGGGACAAAACTTTGGTGCCTCATATATATCTAACTGGGTAATCTTTTTTCCAAAAATAAGAAAAAAACATTTTCAGTGAAAAAATTTTCGTAAGTAAAAAATATGTACTCAATTGAGTACATGCACCAAAATTTTATCCGTACATTTGGGCGTAACTTTTAGAAGAAAGCAAAATTCAAAAAAAAAAAAGATATATTTTTTAAGAGGAAGGTTATACTTACAATCTTTTTTTTACAACCTCTTACCACCATATCTTAACACCGTTAATTTCCGCTAATCAACGGTTAAGATTTATTGTTAATTAATAATTAATTAATAAATTTAATTTCCAAAAATCTTAACCATTGATTGACGAAAATCAACGGTTAAGATATGAGTTGTAAAGAAAAATAGATTTATTGCGAATGAATAGTTAATTAATAAATTTAATTTTCAAAAATCTTAACCGTTGATTGACGGAAATCAACGGTTAAGATATGGGTTGTAAGTATAAGATTTCCAATTTTTTAAAGCCAATATTTCTGGCATAAGACAAAAATAAAAATAAAAATAAAAAAGAATCAAAGATCAATTTTTTGAAAAAAATTAATTTTGCCCAAATCCCTCTCTTGTTACTCGAGCACTACCATTATCATTACCTGTCTTTTCAAATACTACTGGGGGGTTTAAGGGAAAAGTCAAAATTTGAAATATATAAAAAAATGCTTTTAAAAAAATCATTACATGTCTTCTTGTATATTTCATCCAAATACAAACATTTTAAAAAATTCATTCTTTGCAAAATCCCCTCGAAATGGATTCTTAATGATTTGGCGACCATTTGCCTCTACAACATTAACGTATTGGAATATCGGAACGTACTTATCAGGAAGCACGTATTACTTGATTCTGAAATTCTGCCTTTTGTTAATAAGTAATAAATTAGATCCAAATTTTGACTTTAAGCACTATATGAAGAAGTACTAGCTTTCAATACAATTATTTCGTCTAACATGCCTATCGTGTGCGCTTCGAGGCTATAATTTTTTCAACATGACATACAATGTTTCCTTAAATTGTGACTAAGAGGCTAGGTTTGTTTACAAAAGGAATCAAAACTCATGGAAGAGGCTTCTTTTTAGCATTGGCATGCACTAATCTTTCGGGTGCATTTAACAAATTCTGCATTTAATTTGACGTGATGATTGTACGAATAGAAATAGAATTAACAGGTAATCTGATTATAGGAGTATAATTAGTTGTCACTGTTTTGGTAATATTCTCAATTTAACGTATACGAAATTATAGGAATAGAATTAGCTAACAACAAATATTCAAATTGTTGTATTCTTTTGTATTTAAGAGCCATGTTGGCACAGCAATGAAACCAGCCTAATCTTTTTAGCTTATTATGGAGTCAAAGATCATTTTTTTCTATCCTTAACCGTTAAACCCTATTTGGACAATGGCTGACGAGAGTGATCATGATAGCGAAAGTTCAGGAGCATCCTAATCTTCTGCTACCCAGCCTGCCTAAACACAATATCCTTAACCCGCAGTCCCCGTTTTATATGGCACCCTTTGACAAACTAGGCATCCAATTAACCAATGTCCTGTTGAAAGGAGAGAGTAATTATGATACTTGGTGTAACATCTCGGGCTTTGACGTCTTGACGAGGGCAGAGAGTAGATAGTCCTTTGACACGTGAGTTGGATTGTACTACCAGTCGAAAATCCCAGTGTTGGAGTCCAGACCCGCTAAGGTAAGAGGGTTGTGACAGTAAGTTTCTGGCAGGCTTCCAGCGAGAAAGGTACATAAATAAATTGAATCAACACCCCAACGAGAGGGATATGCTATCATTGAGGATGACTGTATAGTTGAGGATGACTTAAAGGAATTAATATATATTATCTATACTAACAAGATGAATATACTTTTCGGTAGCCCATAACTTAAGAACTCCATAGTTAAGCATGCTTAACTTGGAGCAATTTTAAGATGAATTACCGGGCATCACACTAAAGCCAAAGCTATAAAGAATGCCCTACGAGCCAAAAATTAATTGGATTTTGTTACTATCGTAGCTGTTGAACCCGTAGATGTTGCCTATCCAGAGGGTCGAGCATTGGTCATTGTCAATTCCATGATTATGGGATGGCCACAATACAATTGACCCTAGCTTGCAACCCTACATCCAATATTTTGACACAGTTAAGGAATTATGGGATGATCTCCGGGAAAGGTATTGTATTGACAATGTATCTCGAGTTTATTGGTTGAAACAATCACTGTCGAGTATTAAGCAACATGGGTCGACTTATTATACCAAGTTGAGAACTGTTTGGGATGAATTGGACTCCCAAAAATCACATCAATTTGTCCAATGGGGTTGCTTGTCTTGTTTCTAAATCCCTTGTTGATGACAAGAAAAAGATCGCGTGAATCAAATCTTGATGGGGGCTTGATGATGAGATTTTTGGCACTGTCAAGACTCAAATTTTAAACATTATTCCGTTGGTGTCTCTGAACAAGGCATATGCTATCATTGTTAATGAGGAAACAGCTAAAGGAGTTGCAAGGTCTCAGGCAAGTTGATATAAGGTTGTTGGTTGTGCAGTTCAGTCCTTGACTCAACAATCTTTTGGTTTCAATATCCAGCAATAGCCACAATGCCAGGGAAAAGATCAGCATCGTCCATGCCTTCGTGCGTCCATTGTGATAAAACTAACCATCCCTCTAGTACTTTTTGGCAGGTTATCGACTACCTTAACAATGTAGGCAGAGGACATAAATGTGGATGTTGACAAGGAGGGAAAGGCCATTTTGGGCAAGCTCATGAAGCCCAAAGTGAAAAAATTTCCTTTCTAGTAATACATTCGGCCTTGACTCCTGATATAGTCCAATGTCTCCTTACATTGGTAGAGCAGCCTCATACACAAAACGCCTCTTTGTCTGGTAATAATTTACATAGCCCAGTTTGGCTTATTGATAGCGGAGCGTCTAAACATATGACTGGTAGTTTGGAGTTTGTTAGAAATTAAGCAGTGGAAAATGCAGAATATTACTAAAACAATGTTTGTTCCTCCAATATTACACACAAGATAAAAAAAATTTATGATATATAAATAGAGTAATGGCAAATTTACTTTAACATTTTATATTGTTTTATGCGCAATAAAAAACAAATCAATTCATAGAATAAACTCATTTAAAAATGCTTTTATTCAAAGGGTAGGGGAGCACCTCTCCAACAAGTGAAGGATAATAGTGTATTTGTTCCCTGGGAAATGGGTTTGCAAGTATTGGAACTGGATGGACACTGGCTAGTAGGATTTGCATATAGAATTTGTGTGTACAATGCTATATCAGCGGAATTGTGGAGTATCTTGAAGGGTTTGGAACTAGCCTAAGAAAAAGTCTACAGAGATGATCACGAAAAGCGATTCAGTATCCATCCCTCTTTTGGAAATTTAATGAACTTAATACATTTACTTAAGTAATTATTATGTATTCATATAACGTACATTTAATATTTTAAATTCATTATAAATGTTGCTAAAAATATCATGTGTGTACGTAAGTATAAATAGTCTTATATTTGCATTTGTCATTTAAGCCTAGAGAATGTATACGAATAAGGAAAAAAGCAAACCAAAAATATGCAAGACAATCAATAATATCAAAGAAGTGAATTTTTATTATTAGACCGAGTATTCTCTTCTGTATTATGTCCTTCTAAGTGGGAAGCAAAGCAAGTCACTCACCAATAATGCTTTCAAATTCCTGAAAGCATCAGGAATTTCATCATTGGGAACAACTTTAATATACAACTGTTGATCAGACAATAAATATTAATAAATTGTATGTATAAATAAGAAAACAATAAAACTATTGTTCGGACTATAATAAACCATTGAAATCTGTACCAAAAAATGAGAAGAAATCATCATCAGGAGGAGATTGATCCTTGTCACTCACTGCTTCATTCTCTAACCAAACAAAATCAGCTAAATCATCCAGACTTGTAATTTCTTTGGGGTTCGAATGTTTCCCTTGCTCATCCAATTCTTTCTCATAGGGATGAGATGAATTCTTCTTATTACCCGAGCCTTCCAAAATCTTTGGAGGGTAGAGTATCGATTCCAAATAACCATTGCTGCGTGGAGAAACTGGTTCTATCTGAGTCTGTTCATGAATTGGAGGATAGTGCTTATCAATCAATGTATCACCAGACCCATGACAGAATGGAGGCATGCTACATGAGCAACCTTCTTGTTAAAATTCTATGCCTGGGAGTGGAGGTAGCTCTGATACCATTTCCCCATATATGGTGGGAGTTATTGAATCTGGATCCTGAATCAGTCTACTGAGAGACCCATCAACTACTGATGGAAGAATAGGAGATGCAGGCCTGCATGGAAGTGGAGGTAGGTCTGATACCATGGCCTCAGCTATGTAGGAAGTGCCATTTAAACCTGCATATTGCTCACTATTGGTGTTATTGTTAACAATGAGAACATACAAAAAAAAATGTTTAAGAAAGTTTTCCATGAGTATATGTGTGTGTGTGTGTGTGTGTGTGTGTATATAATCTACTTACTAATCAACTAATACTGGGGCAACAATATTAGTGCTGTACAAATGTGATGATGAGCTTGGACCTTGTTCAAATGTGTTGCTTTCATATATATAATTGATTGGTGATACATATGGTGGAAGTTCTTGACTGAGGTTGTTGTTTATTATAGCAAATTTATCTGCTTGTTGGTGGCTGCTGGAACCCTTTAGACTTTGTTGAGTGGCATTAAGCACACGTGGGTGTATGTTAGGAGGGTACATTGGTGCGCCAGCTCGTTCAAGTTTCTTTTTTCTTGTGTTCCAATAGTTCTTTATCTCATTGTCAGTACGTCCAGGCAACTGATACAAATTAAGGAATTAACACAAAAAGTAAATACACACAAAGAAAGAAAGAAAGAAAAATCACACTCACGCACACATAATTCAGTGACATAATTAATGGACAGTGAAAAATGCAATCTCTCATATCACATCACCACATTACCGACTATCCTTTCCATATTTTTTTATACTTGCCTCATCTCTTGTTACCTGAAATTGTCTCACATATGGGACATTATCAGAAAATTCATTTTCCATAATAGGAATGTGTAAAAAAAATTATTTATTTATTCATTCTCAATGGGACATGAGAAAATTTCTTTAACTACTGGTATTTTTATTTCAATTCTTTCCCTAAAAAACAATTCAAGATATATTCAGAATCACTTTACAATTATGATTAGATTCGGAATTAAAAGTGATTTGTAAAAAAAAAAAAAAATCAATTCAACTCACAAAAGTAAACCACTAAAATTGGTTTGGTTTCCTGAATTAAATTATTAAAATCAGTTTGATTGTTGGAAAAAAAAAAATCTTCCCCACCCCTCAACCATAATATAGAGTATTTTTTTCTTCTCGATCCTCCCAGTATCACCTTTAAGAAAGATTTAAATCTTTAATCCTGAACCCGTCCCAAATCAATCAGACTAGTCGTGAAGTAATGAACTGATTTGAATATTTAAAAAAAAAAAGTGTTTTCTCTTCTTATGCAAGAGGAAAATTATGAATTTTACATTACATTCACCAGTTCACTTCACATACTATTTATTTCTCTTTTTAAGTAAAATTTAGGTCACAATTCCAACAGAAAAACAACAATGGAACTAATGCAAACCTCCAAAGCCATTTTAGCCCATTTGGGCCCCATATCAGCATGGAGTTCAATGATCTTAAGCTCTTCCTCTTTACTCATGGGACCCTTCTTCAAATCTGGTCTCAAGTGATTTGTCCATCGAAAACGGCAGCTTTTTCCACAACGAGCAAGTCCTGATTTCTTTTGAACTGCATTCCAATTCCCCTCTCCATGGTTTTTCACATATTCCTTCAAAATTTTATCCTCTTCTGCTGTCCATGGCCCTTTCTTTAAATTATCTTTTTCTTCTAACTCATCCCCGCCATTACCTTTTTCATTTGATAATAATGTCATCACAAACACTGTGCCCATAAGAAACACTGCGCCTACAAAAAGTACAGAGATTTGAAGTTAGTGAACAATGTGAGAATTAACAATTTCATAACTGATCAATGGCAATATATAGTATTAAACTTTTACAAAAAAAAAAAAAAAAAAAAGTAGTATGATTTTATCCATTAGAAAAACACCGAGCACTAACCTTTGACATGCAATAGATCGCTACAAGGGCTAAAAACTGAAAACATGAGTAGTCTTTGTTCGTTGAGGGTAGAGAACAGTCTAGGACTTATTTAGCAAATAATAACAAGATGCAGTGTTACCCCTTGAATTCATGGCTTAAAAAGGGGAAAATATTTTGTTAGTTTGTTTCTTAGATTTGTGGGCTCTGCCCTTTAAAAACTACCCAAAAAAACAAAAATTACAATTTAAATTTTGGCATGACCGCCTTTAGATAGATACCGTTTCAATCGGTTAATTCATAAATCTGCGAAAAAATTCAAAAAAAATAAATAAATCTTTAAACAATCATTATCCTAGTTCAATTGCTAGGGTTACAATTACAACCCGTTTAGGGTTTCTTGCATTGCCTTGGAGCTATCGTTTATTTCTTATTTATCTTTATAGTTTGTTGTTTGGAATTTTATGATGTGGCTTAATCTATTAGTGTTTCAGCTAAGAGAATAATAAAGTAGGATAAGATTTTTCTCTTAAATTAAATTATCGAAAACTATCTAATTATTATTTTAATATAAAACAGTTAACAATTCTATATTATCTTTAATTGATAACTATTTTATAATTAAAATATTAATAAGTTAAATAGTTGTTTATTCTTGTTTGCTAAATTACAATTTAGCACCCTGAACTTTGATTCTTGTTCAGAAAACTACCTTTTTGTTTTTAATTGAAACAATTAACCTAAATATCTCCAAAGACAGGAGATATCAACGGAAGACACATCCTCTTAGGATGCCATCGTAGTTGGGGAGTGGAGTTGCAATGTTTTACAATATTTTATTTAAGAATTCCTTATTTCTGCTGTTGTTGCACATGAAAAATGTTGCAGCAAATTTATTAACACTAGAATACGGAATTATATTCTGAAATAATAAAAAAATTCCAAGATACAAATCATATCCTGATAGAAATAAGTGTTAGTGCAAAGACAGAAAAGCTATTAAAACCCTTATTTAATAGTAAACATTTAATCCTATCTTCGAAGATCTGGATTCGTATGCCCAGAGAATAAAAAAATGTATAAATCATCTACTTAATCCTCCAAAAAGATTACTATATCATGTATTAGTTATATAAATTAATCATATTAATTAAAATTTAAAATCTTTTATTCGTTCTTATGAAAAACTAAAATAATCATAGAACATAATGAATTTAGTAATTGTTTTATATATTTTGAAATATTAACTTAGTGACAAGAATCTTTGAAAGACTAAGACGATAACACCCTAATTTTGAAAATAAGTAAAAGACTACTCAACAAAATATTACACGTATTACAATCCGTGCATTGCACATACATGATAGCTAATAAATAGTTATCATTAACAAAGTGAGTGCACGGAACTATTCAATGTGAAGCATACCAAATAAACCGGGGCAAAAAGAGTGAGCATCATTCGAAGTACTAAAACAGTGATATAAAATGCAAAAGATATGGAAACCCCAAAAGCACAACAATATTTGTTTCATACAAACTTTTCATGCACTTCAAAGTATGAAATGTAATATCAATGTCGTGGCTTCTAGGATGAAAACAGCCTTGAAAACAAGTAACCATGGCAGCCCTGCACGGTATCTAGCAGAGGCATAGTTTGGCATGCTTCCTCAAATGCACGATTCATCCATTTTTCTAATATTACTTCAGCAATAGGAGCAACCTGATGCTGCAACAATGCTGCACCGAGGGGTCCTATCAAATTTAGCCTTGTTGCAGCAGAAATTACATCTCTCATTGTGATGAACAAGTAAGCTCTCTGAGAAGTAGTATTATCAATTCCTAGTGCTCCACATATAAGTCCAAATATAGGAGCATGGTGAAAAGATACAGTACCTAACCCCAGAGAAGCATCTCTCATGGTTTTGAGAGAGGGAATCTCAGAAAACACAGCTGAAGCCACCCTCATTAATGCAGATCCTTGTGAGATTGATGCCTTTCGACCCACTTCATTAGTTAGGGTGGCATCCAATATTTTGTCAAGATTATGCCAGGTTTCCAAATTGGGTGACATGGAAGCTGAGTACACAAAAGGAAGGAATAAGCTTCCTGTATTCTCCAATACATGGACAACAAATGTCTTAAGTTCGTTGGAATTAGAAACTAAGTGGGACTGAACTGCTGCTTCAAGGCCAAAAGAATGAGCAAATCCACCAGTAGGTAGAAGAGAATCAAGCAACTGCCATTGACTCCACTGTAAAAATGAGTCTGCAAGGCAAGGTCTGTCGCGCTCTTCATTTATTTGCATTGTAAATGATATTACTCCAGTGTTGATCAGGAATGTCAGATTACTACAGTTGCCTAAAGAAATAAACCGGGTTTATGGAATCAAACTTTTAAAACAATCTAAAATATTCCCATAAATATTTTGAATATAAATTATGTGTAAGAAATTTTTTTTTTTGGGAAAACCAGCCTGAACAAAGTTGAGTTTCCGAAAGATTCTATGATCCTATCTTAACCAGAAGCCATAAGCTCATAGAAAACAGCTGCTGAGTCAGTAAACTTCTACTGATAATAACCTACAGCAGATCTAGCATGGCAAGAATCTTACCAAGGAAAAAAATAAATAAATTAGATGTGACTTTGTCACAAACTCCTTTTTCTTATTTCAAAAGGTATATCAAGTTAACTCTCAAGTGAACCATAAGCACCCCACAAAAAAAAAAAATCTCTAGTAAAACTTGCTAAAGTTAAGCATGGAGGAAGCTTTTATTCTATGATAACCAAAAACCCAGAACCCCGAAAATATACATCACCTACTTCATCGAAGAAATGGATATAATAAGGAGGCCAGCAACTTTTACCAATAAAATTTGAAGATCAAAATACAAATACTGACAAGCACTCTGCTTGCTAGCAAGTCAATATTTCAAACAAGCACAGTGGCCACTAGCTATCTTGGTAGGTTGAGTTAAATGGTTGGAACCTCCTCAATATTGAAGATATGGACATTAACAGTTTCATGAAATATGGACTAATGTCAGACACGTCCTTCAAAGCTCTCTTGACAGCAAAAATAAAATAAAATAAAGTTCAACCAATTATAGAGACCATAAAATCCTCAATTCCCATTCATGGGTGTTCTGAAATTCTCTAGTTACCATGCTTATTTACCTTAGTTCATTGAAATGGGGAGTAAGACAATCTCATTATGAAGTCAATTCCACTATGCTTTTTCTCTACTCAAACAACGAACTGAAAATTATTTGTTCTTGAAGGAGAAGGAACATTTTACATAATCTCATTTGCAAGTGGTGTAAAAAAATGTCAAATGTACATCTCTCAAAAGAATAAAGGGCACTGCGAAAAAAGAACATGAACTTTTAAACATGAGATTTTTTTTTCTTTTATATTATTTTTGCCCGTTTTCTTTTAGGACTATATATTTCAGTCCATTCAAAATCATAACTGACAATATTTTAAAATTATATTAGCTACTAAGGTTACAACATACCAACCTGCATGTTAAAATCAAATTGCACTGGGAAATAAGAGTTGGAACAATGTATTAATGGAGGTTTTCCATAATGTGATTGAGACAAACTAGTCAGCAGTTACAAGTAAAGCAAGCTATAGTAACATGACATTTTCTATGATCTTGAACCTAATATCATCACCCAAGAAAAAAACTAAGAGTTGTCTTTTTGAGATTCATTACTGCCCATGTTCATGAAATGGAAGCCCATAATATACCTATATTCTCCAGTCCCGAGGCAGCGGGAGCAGTAACTAAGACCACTTCCACCACAAGTCCTACACCATTTTGGCCATTCACCTTTTGGGAGCATTTCCAAATGAACTTGGTTTATCCTTCCTTTTCCATGACACTGGTGGCAATCAACTCTTCCACTCCCCTCACATACTACACAAGGTGGATCAGGCTTTTTTCTTCTTTTCTTCCGAACGTTCGACTCTGTTCTCACAACCCAAGATGGCTTTGTGAGAGAGAGATGAGGCAAATACTTGGGAGACTGAGGTGGGGGCAGACCATTGAAACTTGAGGCCTCAAATCGGACCATTCTTGACAAACTCAATGTCCCAAAACCCATATATGCCAGCAGAACTCCAGTGTCTACTCCACTTTCAGCAGTGAAATCTGAAACAAACGAGGATACCTACTTTCTGAGGACTTCCAACAAACATTTGCTTACATATTGATCAGCATTTCATGAACATGATTGTGGCACTCTGACAGGAATTTTGGGTATATATTGGTCATATCTTCCAAGATACTACTGGATGTTCCTATTACTCTTATTTACTCACCAAACTGTAGCATCATCCATGACCAAACATGGAAACCTAAATAAATACAAGTCTTCCTAATGGCCGGGAAAACAAATAAACAATCATGGGGTGTTCATGAAAATCAATTTTAAGAGAGCAGGACCACTAAAATTTATAAAAGTTTAACTTTAATTAAAAAATAAAAAACCCTTGTTCAAGGTTGTTGCCAGTACTCAATTCATCGGAAATTGGGAAGAAAAACAAGGAAACGAGGCAATGAACTAAGCAAAGGGTACAACGCAGAGCATAAACAAGAGCGAGCTAGAAAACCCACAAAGCAATTTGGACATACAGTACGAAAAACAAATAATTTAGAAAAGAAAATGCAAAGGAAGCATTAGGGTATGTGAAGTTTACCCGGTGAAGTTGAGAAACAAGAGCAAGTGAACCAAAGCAAAGAGTGATGTTTCCGCAATTCTGCTGTGCTTATTTTCCTTTTGCCACCATCGCTTATCACATGATTTTTATTGTGTTCTACAATTACGCTCTCTTACAGAAACAAAAAAATTTTTATTTTTATTTGGATATGTTTATTTGAAAGATTGTCTTTGTTGAAAATTATTATCATTCACGTTGAATTATGTGTTATTGAGTTTTTTTAATATATATATATATATATATACGGGCTTATCATTTCTCAAGCTGCTTGAGATAATGTTATCTTCGGCTACTAAATTACAACCAAAAAGATGGATCAACGGAGATAAAGGAAGAGAGAGAAAAAAAGAATCATAACCCTTCCAAGGTAAATCAATTAATATAAGGAAATAAATAAACAAAACGACATAGTTTTGGGATAGACAGAAATAAACATATCTCAAATAACTTGAGAAATATTTTTCCATATATATATACCTTATTGTTTCTCAAGTATTCGAGATAATTATATCTCTCACTAATAACTGTATACATATCGATCAATGATGATTAAAAAAATAAAACAGAAAGAAAAAAGAATCATAATCATTTGAATCAATTAATATAAATAAATAAAATAATAAAAAAATTGGATAAACAGAGATAAATATATCTAAAGGAAATAAATAAACTGAACATTAATTGATACTATTAAATAAATCAAAGATTAAATTGTGTGTGAAGTTTATTTTCAACAATCAAATTCTCTTTAATGAATATGTAAGTTTTTGCTCGTTCTAATTTCCCACTACACTTTTAAAAATTAAAAATTATACTTACATAAAAAATTAAATCTCTCAGCCAATTAATAAATTTTAAATTAAATTTATATATTAGTAAACAGTGATTTTAAAATTATTCTATCAGCTTATATAAATTATAGACATGTTTAAAATGGGAGAGGATCCACTTACCACCAAAAAAAGTTTACAACTCTTACAACCAATTTAATCACCGTTGATTTCCATCAATCTAACGGTTATAATTTATTGGAAATTAATAACATTTATTGTGTCACATTTATTAATTTTCAATAAATTATAACCGTTAGATTGACGGAAATCAACGGTGATTAAATTGATTGTAAGAGTTGTAAACTTTTTTGGTAGTAAGTGGATCCGTTCCCGTTTAAAATAAGTATTAAAATAACAAAGATCAATTAATATAACAAATTTTACTAATCGTAATTTTTATCTAAATAAGTACTGCGAGACTGATCAATTTTAAGGGTGTGTTTAGCGCGGGAATGAATCCCCATATATTTCTTTCAACATTTAATGACAAAACTCAATAAGATGAACAATCTCAAATTTATATCATTTAAAGGGTTGAAAAAAAATAACGAAGAATATTTTGATAAAAAACTTTTTAAAAAATTGTAAAATATTTTTTATTAATTATATAAATCCTCAAAATGATATAATTTTGAGTTACATGAAATAATTGTATCTATTTTAATAAGAGGTAGGATATTGTAACAATCAATTAGTGTTACTACCAATGTTACTATCAATCAATTTCACCTTTAGATCGATTATGTTGATCCAACGGTTATATTTATTTCCACGTTTGTATGGTTATGATTTCTCCTTTTTAATGTGAAATCATAATCATACAAAGATGAAAATAAATATATTGATCCAATAAATATAATCATTGGATCAATATAATCGATATAACGGTAAGATAGATGGATAGTAACATTGCTAATAATACTAATTGGTTGTTACAATCGTACTCCATTTTAATAATAGAAAAAAATATTTTTACAATAATAATAACCTTACATATTTTTATTTTTTTTTGAGTTACCCAACCCTGATTATCTCTTTGAGACGAGTTGGCTCCCTCCTGTATCCCCACGAGCTTCGACTCTTTGAACCGGCTATGGGACTAATCCGGAGTGCGGGGGAACAGTGATGGCTAAAGGTTCAGCCCCATCTCCAAGAATGCATTCAGCGGAAATCGAACACATATCCAACCCCACTAACTCAACGCCAAGTTACCAACTGAGCTGTACCCATTGGGTTTTTATTTTTATTTTTATTTAGAAATATATTTTGCACGCACAAACATTTCCCTCACTTTTTTGTGTTATATAACATAATCCCCATCTTTTCTCTCATGAAAAGGCAAAAAAAATTAAAATATTACACTTTTAATAATTAATTACGAATAGGTAGCAGTTTGAAAACTATATTCGAATTCATTGCAGTTATTTACGTCCAAATTAAGCGTGACTATTCACGCCCAAATTAAGCGTGACTCCTAAGGCATTCACGCCTAAATTAGGCGTGACTCGTCTGGTGTTAACACGTGGCACAAAAAATTAATAGTTTAACCGTAAAACTTTATAAGCCATAACTTTTGACTCGGGTATTCGAATAAGGTAATTCTTTTTTTGATTCCACGTAACTTTTCGAGATCTACGCAATGACATCTCATTTGATATATTTTATCTCTCACAAACACAATTCAAATTTATAACAATGATACTATAAAGATGGCACCAAAATAGATTAACTCATTTATAAATAAGATGGCACCAAATTTCCTATTAAATACAAAACGCAATCAGCTCCTATTAAATACAAAACGCAATCAACTCTTATAACATTAAATTCAAAATTCAAATAACCACCAGCAAATTTATTTGAATTGGCGACAATCTATAACCAACTCAAAAAATTACAACGCAATCAGCTCCTATTAAATACAAAACACAATCAACTCCTATTAAATACAAAATGCAATCAACTTATTAGAGGTTATTTGAATTTTGAATTTAATGTTATAGTATCATTATTGAGCGTGAATGAGTGCAATATATTCGTAATTAGGTTCAAAACGACAACTTATTCGTAATTATTTATTGAAAAAGCAAGTGTTTAGAATATTTATTTAATTATTTTCTTTATTAATGCAGATTTTTCAAATTGATTTTTGAGTTTAAATCACAAATTAAATCTTTATTTTTTTCTTATTAATAATAATTTTTAATTTTTTTTTGGTATACACTATATAATACAATTATTGTAAATTTGAATTGTGTTTGTGAGAGATATAATATATCAAATGAGATGTCATTGCGTAGATCTCGAAAAGTTATGTGGAATCAAAAAAAGAATTACCTCATTCGGATACCCGAGTCAAAAGTTATAACATTTCAAAATTTCACGATTCGTAAGTTGACTTTTTTTGCCAGATATCAACACTAAGTGTCAACACGATACAATAAATTTAAATATAATTTCCAAACTGCTACCTAGTCGTAATTTAATTAATTATTAGAAATATAATATTTTAATTTTTTTTGGCCTGTTAAAAACTCTTTTACAATCCTAATTCAATATACCTTTTTAGAAAAGCCGAATTGCAAAGGTTGAAGCTCGAAAAACCGAATTGGATGAAGGTAAATGGAGTCCATGCAGTCAACAAACAGTTGGAAGACAAAGGCAATGGCAGCGTGAGAGTGTGAAAAAGAAGATCCAATTCGATCCATGATGCTATCACTCAAACATGTAACCAAACACAGGTCCAGATCCTTCTTCTCTTCCATTCTCACCATCTCCAACAACCCATCTTCTTCTACTTCTTCTTCTTCTTCTTCTTCTTCTTATACTTGTCTTTCATCTCCATCCCCATGCACACCTCTAGAATCCTTCTCCGTCACCCGAAACGACATCGCCGACTCCTTCAAAACCTGGTTCAGAACTCGCAACCACACCAAAGACCCCCTCCTCGACCGCATCTACGAAATCCTCGCTTCCGGCGACGATTTCGCCGCCCCTCTCTCACGCCTCTCCCTCCCCCTCTCCGAATCCTTCGTCCTCAAAGTCCTCCGTTACGGCGGCGACCACAACGGCGACGTCCTCTCACGCCTCAAGTTCTTCGACTGGGCCGGCCGCCAGCCCGGCTTCCACCACACCCGCGGCACATTCATCGTCATCTTCCGCATCCTCTCACGTGCCAAGCTCATGCCCCTTGTCCTCGACTTCCTCCACGCCTTCCGGAAGCGCGGGTTCGGACACAGGGTCCGTTTCAACGACACCCTCGTCGTTGGTTACGCCATTGCTGGAAAACCCGAGGTTGCACTCAACCTGTTCGGTGAAATGCGCTTTAAAGGTTTGGACTTGGACAGCTACTCTTACCACATTCTCTTGAATGCCCTCGTTGAGGAGAAGTGTTTCGACGCCTTTGATGCCATTCTCAAGCAGATTCGCTTGAGGGGCTACGAGAATCGCTTCACCTATGTGATCGTCGTCAAGTGTTTGTGCAGGCGGGGTAGGTTGAAGCAGGCAGAGGCTTACCTTAAAGGTTTGTTGGGTGGTGGGAAAGAGTTGAACGGGTCTGAGGTTGGTTTTCTTGTTGGTGCATTGTGTCAGAGTAATAGGTTTGACCGTGCTGTTAAGTTGGTTGTGGAGCTTGGGAATTCGGCGTTTGTTCCCTTGGAGAATGCTTATGGTGTATGGATAAGGAGTCTTGTTCGGCGTGGTATGTTGGATGAGGCACTGGAGTTTTATAGGCAGAAGAAAGATTCTGAAGGGTATGTTCCTGACCTGGCACGGTATAACATTTTGATTTGTAGGCTTTTGAGTGAGAACCGGCTCCTCCAGGTGTATGATTTGTTGGTAGATATGTATGAGACTGGCATTCCCCCTGATATGGTTACCATGAATGCTGTCTTGTGCTTCTTTTGCAAAGTAGGGATGATGGATGTCGCGCTCGAATTGTATAATTCTAGGTCTCAGTTTGGTCTGTCTCCGGATCACATGGCTTACAAGTATTTGATACTTACTCTGTGTTGGGATGGGAACGTTAACGAAGCATACAGTGTATTGAGAAGCTCTGTTGATCAAGGTTACTTTCCTGATAGACTAACCTTTTCTACACTTGCCAGTGCTTTATGTAGAGAGTGCAAGATTGAGGAGATGAAGGAGTTGCTCCATCTTGCCTTGGGGCAGAATTTTATGCCTAATGCTTCCACATATGACAAGTTTATATCGGCTCTATCCCGGGCTGGAAGAGTAGGAGATGTTTATTTGTTTCATGGGGAACTTAACAGTGTAATTGCTAGAGTCTCCTATGTAAGGATGATTAAGGGTTTCGTTAAGTTAAATAGGGGAGATATTGCTGCTCGTCTTCTTATTGAAATGCAAGGGAAGGGTCATAAACTGACACGTCCCTTATGCAAAGCTGTTATTTGTTGTTTGCTTGATATGGATAATCCAAGGGCAAATGTTTTCAATTTATTGGAGGTGCTGACTCACCGTGAACCTCATTGTAAGATTTACAACTGTTTCATTGATGCAGCTGTGCTTGCCAATAAGGCTGACTTGGCCAGGGAAGTAATTGAGTTGATGCAAAGGAAAGGCATTAAACCCAATGAGGATTCCAAAATTCTTATGTTGAAGAGTTGTTTGAAGAGTGGAAGGATTTCTGATGCTCTGAATTTATTTAATAATCTCCAGTGCCAGGCCTTAGTGTCTAGAAAATTATATAATACCTTGATCGTTGGTCTCTGCAAGGCCAATATGGCAGACATTGCACATGAATTCTTGTTCAAAATGATTAAAGCTGGATCAACTCCAAGCATTGAATGCTATGAGGAGCTTGTGCAGCAGCTTTGCTCATCGAAGAGATATCATGAAGCAATCAATATTGTTAATGTGCATGAGAGAATGGGACGTCGAGTAACTTCTTTTCTTGGTAATGTACTTCTTTTTCATTCCTTGGTTTCACCGAAAGTCTACGATACCTGTGTTCGTTTTATAGGAGTGAAAGAGGGGACATTTTCTGGTATTTCAATGCTTAGCTTGATCATTGGTGTATTTTCTGGTCGTCTCAGAGTAAACTATTCTATTGAGGACTTGGAGGAGTTAATAGGGAAGTGCTTTTCACTTGACATTTACACCTATAATCTGTTGTTGAGAAAAGTAAGCAAGAGTGATATGGACCAAGCTTGTGAGTTGTTTGATCGTATGTGTAAAAGGGGTTATGAGCCTAATTGGTGGACTTATGACATCATGGTCCATGGTTTCTCAAAGCAAGGGAGGAAAGATGAGGCCAAGCGGTGGGTTAAAGAAATGTGCCGAAAAGGACTCTATCCAGCAGAGAGTGATTGAATATTCATTTAAGGAGAATGATCAATGTTCCAATCAATGTGTTAAAGACGCAAAATGGTTCACACAATTTTGGTAAGGATATTATTATTTATATATATATATTAAAAAATGGGTTACCTTGGATGCATTGGTTTTAGTTTTCCCGTTTTACCCCTCCTCCCGGTCCTTTTATTTTCTTGTGGAAGCATTAGAAAATAAAATATGTTTCCACCTTGTATTATTTATCACACTAGATTGACATAAGCTATGATATTTGACATAGCTTTTTATACATCATTTTATTTCCATGCTGTATTTTCAAGTTAAAAGCATTGCTTCTTAGCATCTTTTTATGCTAGTTGTCATCACACCGAATAAAAAATAATATCAATCGAGTCTTGACACAAATTTGGTGGATTTCAAATTTCAATGAAGTAGTTGTTCTTAGTGTCAGTAATTACTGAATCATTGAGTATGGTTTGTCCATGTGATTGTCTATTATTCAAAGAGATTTGAATAGGATTGTAGATCAAGAAATGAAGCTTTTAATATTGTTAGAGTTCTAGGGTGAGAAAACAACAAGCAAGGAGAGAATATAGATGGAAAACAGATCAAAAAGACAGGAATCCAGAGAATAGAGATAGAGAACCATGTATGTTATTAAGAAATGGTACAACAAGGAGAAAGCTCCTTCACAAGGGTTCCCCCTCCACAAATGAGTACCAAGACTCGGTCTAACTGATAGAGTCCTCCTCTCCTCTGTACAACATATCCTCCTATTTAACTGCCACCCTAACTGAACTATCTAACCGTTTGTCATTTCATTTACAAACTTTCTAACATCGTCTTATTGTTTTCCCCTTCGTTCCTCCTCGTATACACCTTCCAGACCCTCTCTTCATTGAGCTAAGGTCTGACAAACATGGGATTGTTGTTCTGTCTTATTTTATACATGTTTTATATGACACTTAATTTTCCTGTTTCTGCCTGCCCACTCGGTGGGCTATTCACAAAGAAATTAGTTAAAGGCCTCTCTCTTCGATCTTTCTTGTCATCTGCCATGATTGAATATCCCTTGTTTTATGCACTTGCTGTATTCTCTCACCAAATTGGTGGTGAACTCGAATTCCTTGAGAAATGGACTGCTCACCTCATAAAGGCCTGGTGGTTTCATGCTGGTACTATATTGGCCATTGGCAACAAAATTACTTTAGTTGACTGGATCAAAAGGGATTGGCATCATATCAACCTTGCTATTTCCCTCTTCCTTGTATCCTTCTTGTAAGCAAAATCTGTAATGTTTTATTATCAACTGCCAATGTTTCTTTTTTGTTCTAACTCTTACTTCAGTGTGCAGAAGAATCAATTGGGGCATTTTGCTTTGGTTTCTCTAATGGACAGTGTATTGACTCCTTCCTTGTTTAGAACTTGCACTTGAAGACCGGCCATATAAGATGCTCTAAACTAGTCTAAGATACAATTAAGATATTATGGGATATTTTTCATATATTTTAACACATTTCCTCAAGCTAAAGTTTGTTACAAATGACTCTCTTAAAAATGAAAAATAACTACAAATTTTAGGTGACAAAAAGGGTTTAACTTGCAGGGTTGGCCCGTCTAACTGCCACATATGGCGGGTTGGGTTTTGACTCCCAACCTGCCAACCCTTTTAAACCCGCCATGTATAAGTGCTAGTCAAAACGGGTTGAACTCGCAGTGGGGCAGGTGAACTGGTCTTGTAGAAAGAATCGGAGAGGATTCAGGAGAGTATGAATGGGGCAGGAAGAAGAAAAAACAAGAGGGGAGGAAGAAGACAAAGAAAGAACCGAAGGGTGGGTTGAAGAGAGCCATTGCCTGAGAAGAGCTCCCAGAGAAATCAGGCTGCTGCTTAACTAAGAGGATATCAATCATACTCTAGAAGTATCGAAGTGAAGAGAATGAAGTTCACTAAGCAGCACGGGCTCTAACATGGATAGTGCAGCATGTGAAAGTTTAAATTGTACCATTAGGATTTGAAGAGTCTGCATCTTACATGGCAACAATTCCTGGTTTGGAGTGTCGGTGCTTCAAAGATTTGACGTATTGATGAAGTCCTTTTAGTTGTTTGGATGATGTGAAAATGAAGGATAGGAAAAGAAAGCTTGTAGGTAACTAGGTATTTTATTACAGAAAATTGGGGTAAACACCAATTACAGACATCAGAATCACGAAAAAGGAAATCGAAAGATTAATCTAAACCTGTACCTATCAAAAGCTGACAATACTTGAAATAGTTTGTTTTAATTTGTAGCTGGCTAGATTACATTATCGCATGAGATTAACAGAGAATCATGAAAATGTAATCTAAACCCTAAAGTTTGGTTCAGTCAAGCTTCAGAGCTTTTGTCATTTGTTCTGTTCTCTGTTGTGGGAGCTAATATAAATTATCTCCAATATATATAGCACTTATAGCTCGTTGCTATCATCTATGATCCACTGACACGAGACACGATACAACACGTTAATTCTAAAAAATAGTATATTTCGACACGTTGAGACATTTTTTGATATTAAATAATATTTTTAATATATATAATATAATTTATATTTAATACATATAACAGTCCATAATAAGTCATATAACCAATCAAATGTTCAAATTTTATAACAAATATAAAAAAATAAATTCGTACCTTGTTAATTTTTCATATCAAATTTCATAACAGAAAAAATTGATTTATAAATGATTTTTTTTTATTTTTAGTTAATAAAAAAAGTTGACTGTGTGTCGGAAAAATATGTCGGAGCGTGTCGGAGAGTTGACCATGTCTCAAAATGTCGACCGCGTGTCGGAACGTGTTGGAGCATGTCGGTGTCCGACACGTATGTTTTCAAAAAAAAAAGCCGTGTCGAGGTATCAGAGGCTATCATTGAACAACATCATAACGTAAAATAAGTCTATTTCCTTCTATCACATACATTTATAATTAATTACACAAAATCCTCGTTACATCAATTACATTTAAATCCATTAACAAATATAACTACTACACCGTGATGCACAAAATAATAAGAAATACATAATCATTAGACTTAGTCCCAAAATGCTACATGAACAAACACAAGATATGGTATACATCACTCATGCAATTCTACATGTTCATGCACTAAGTCTAGCATGTCAAATGAAATCCCAAAATGCAAAAGATGCAAAATATCATGGCGCACTCCAATGGCTCTCCTCCACATCACTCTGTGGGACTCTTGCCCAATACTCCTACACTGCTAGATGAACCTGAAATAGAGACTCATGACGCGGAGTGAAATATACGAATATATATATAAGTAATCCAAAGATTCTGAATGATCACCCCACCTAATGACTCACTTAAATGTACAAATAGCTGTCTAGGTTACTTAGGTTGTAATTCACCCGAGCTCTTCTGTTATCCATAAATGTAACAAAATGCCCATGCATGTTCATTTTTTGTATTTTTGGTTCTTTAATCTAGAGTATTTGCATGATTCACATGTATTATAGCGGGACTAACTTTTCGGACACTATTATATTTAAAAAACTCTTCCTTAATGAAACGGAGGGTTAGATTTGGGGGTCAAATTTTACAGTGTTGGGTCTCAGAATGAGAGAAGAAAAAAGAATGAAAACGTGGGTCTCTGAATTTGATTTTGGGTAAAAAGATTTTTGATATGCGTCTAACATACGGAGATTTCTAAGTAAAAGAAGCAAGGAATTAATCATAAATGTGTGAAAATAAGCTCATAAATGCAAGAAATATTGATTATTCCTTCTCAATCATTCTCTCACTCAATTTATGCATTTTGATAGCAGGAAACACCAAAATTAAGTGAAAGAGAGAAGTTAAAATTGCATAGTCTCGCGCAAAAAATGGCGCGATCCGCGCGGATTTGGCGCTGATCGCGCAGGCGTCATGAATGCAGTCCTTGATTTGTGGAGTCGCGAATTTGGCACTGATCGCGCAGGCGTCATGAATGCATTCCTTGATTTGTGGAGTTTGATTAAAAGTGAAATTTAATCAAATTAATGAGAGGATTATGACCTGATTGATTGGTGGAATTATGAGAAAAATGGAAATTTAATCAGAATTAATTCAAGGATTATGACCTGATTGAGTAGCTGGCTATATAAAGGAAGCAGAAACTCTAAAACAATATCATCTTTAGTTGGAGAGAATTCTTGGAGGCTCATGTTGGAGATCCTTCATCTTCTTTTTCTTTTTCTTTTTATGAATTCTTTTTATTTTAAACTGTCAGACATGATTATGTCTGGCTAGTCTTTTTATATTGTGGTAAAGTTCACAACCCTTGATGTGAACCCCTTGTATTTTAGTTAAGTTTATGATTAATTATTCAATTGAATTTATTTTATTCTGTTCTTCATCTCATAATTCTTTTAGAATTCGCGACTCTATTAGGATTGCGAGGGTTAGGGTTCACAATAGGGATATTGGGATTCTAATTCCTGACAAAGAGTAAGATAACTGTTCATGTATGCACTAGGGATAGGCTACATGAACTGCAAATGTGGAAAATTCACTGGGCTTAAGGATTAACTTGAAAAAGGATTTCTAAGGGATTAGGATTCTAATAGGGTTAATAAGGTTAAGATCACTAAGGGATTAGGGCTTAACTCATTAATTATAGATGGTGAATTATTTGGTCAATTGGGTAATTAAATATAAATATTAATCAATATTACAAGGTGGAGATCGGAAAGGTGTTGGCGTCCTTTACTGCAATAGTTTTTCTTTTAATATTTTTCTCAAATCTCAATCTTTGTTTTTTTTTAATTTCTTCAAATTTCTCTCTGAATTATTCACGAAATATTGAATAGTTCACAATTGTTACAAATACCATTATTTTCAAACCAACCCTTGTTCATCCAATAAGAAAGGAATAGTTAAATTTAAATCTGGTGCCTCAATCCTCGTGAGACGATATCTTACTCACTTTTATTACTTGGTACGATCGGTGCACTTGCCAATTTTACGCAACAATTTTGTTTTTTTATGTTAAATTATAGAAGAGTGTAACAGTTCTGTTAACTGCCGTGAAAATCGCTGCCAATTTCCGAATTGTAACTTATGTTAGAGTGGATTTTTTCATGTGTTAAGTAACATGATCGATCATGTTATGTAGAGAAATTATGATCATATA